AAGGAGAAAAATACCCTTGTTTTAAAGCAGCGTGGGGAACAGAAACCTTGCAAGTCACTAACACGTGATGTGGAAGGTCAGGATTCTTCCAATGAAATATTCATTCTTCTTATCTAATTTCTGGTGGCTAAAAAAAAGGGCACTGACAGCTGCTAGAGTAAACCAGAGCTCCTTAAAAATAGCCAGAAAGAAACAGGTTTCTGGTGGTTCTTGTCTGTGTAAGAATCGCACCCTAGAATTCCCCATCACTCTTGAGTGATTGGAAAGCACTCCAGATTCTTGGCACAGACGGATATAGTCCTGATTAAAACTTTAAATAAAAGCTGACTATATCTGTAAGGTAATCCTAGTCAATGTTAGTGTATCAGGCTGGTCACAGAAGCAGTTCTCTCTGCTCAGGCAGGGGATCCACTTCTTAATTGTAAAAGTTTTTCTCAATCTTTTAACAACTGTGATTCTGCCAAATTTGACTTTCTCATTGCTTTAAGGTTCAAACCAGCAACCTACTTTGCTGAACAGTGATAAGCTGTGGGCATTGGAATGGGGCACAGCTTTGGAACAAATATGGATCAAACACACCGGAATCTCTGGTTCCGAGTGACATTCCATCATTTAACCCTGCATCTCCTGGATTTGTTCCAGAGACAATTTCATTGCTCTGCAACTCCCGCAGCTGAGCTTTTTCCTAGTCCTCACTCTCAGGCTGACAAGCCCACTCCTTATAAAGAGGTGAAACTTACTCTGCCTGGAAGGTTCTCTCGCCGTACTTCTCGAGGACGCGGCACCCGTGCTGCTGCTGCACCCCGATCACCTTGGCTCTGTCCTTGATGACAGATGCCTGTGGGGACAGGGGGCACATTGTCACATTCAACGGATCGCATCCAACACGTGGGATCACTCCTGACCTGTCTCTGCAAGTTCTTCGTGCCAAGACTTGCATGAACAGCAAAATCCTGCCTGTCTCTCACTCAGTTGCTTAGTGCACATTGTCACATTCAACGGATCACATCCAACACGTGGGATCACTCCTGACCTGTCTCTGCAAGTTCTTCGTGCCAAGACTTGCGTGAACAGCAAAATCCTGCCTGTCTCTCACTCAGTTGCTTAGTGTCCATCCACAGAGACAAGTCTGCCGTACCTTTTCATCCAAGCAAGTACCAATATCGCTCTCTGAGCAGCAGATTTTAAGGGCATTTTCATACTCAGCAGCCAGACCCAGGATTGCTGGGGCGTGCAGGAAGGGGTTTCTCCTTCCAACAGTGTAGACGAAACTGGAAGGAAGAGGAAAACCTAAGTTCCATGTTCCAACGACAACAGCAAACAGCCTTAAATCTCTTGCAGCTTCTCTAACTTTTTTTTCCAGTTTAGATATGCAATCTGCTTTCCTGACATAAAGCCTGAGATGCTCTGCTAAACCCCACAGGACTCAGTAAAGTGACGGAAGGGTGAACTCCTGATGTTGTCTGCCACCTGGTTTGATGTATGTCTGCTTTTTAAAAAATGCATTGTCAAATATTTGAAAATTCTGATTTTCAGTGTGAAAAATTCATCTGTGGCCCTTTCACCAAGATTTTACTGCCAATTTTTATTCTTTGTACTGTTATCTTTCTTCATTCTTGCCAATTACAACGGGGGTAGTGGGAAGCTGGAGTAACCAAGTTATTAAATAAATGTTGAAAGGCCGTGGGCTTTCAGGGGTTTTGGAGAAGAAAAGTCACCCGAGATGTATAAAATGTGATCCCTTAACCCCCATTCTGAATGGAAAAGCCTGCATGCAATGAGAGAATGTGATAAGTGTAAGGAAGCAGAAGTATCCATTTTCCTTACTTTCCCAGGAGTCCCACCCGGTTGTCCTGGTACTGGGTGCAAATCACATCGGCAGCAGGTCTCTGGTATGGAGGAATGAAGTCTGGGTGGTGAACTCTGAAGGACAGGAAGCACTGGTTTCTCTCGGGGTCAGCTTTCCCACAGCAGTCAGCCATGTCACCGTAGGAGTCGCGGAGCTGGTCGACTTGGCAGATTCTGTCCAGGAAAATGGTGGGCTGCAAGGGAGATGCCAGGGGTCAGAATTAGTGTTTACAGACAGGGGGATGTATGTTCTGTTTATCTGCAAAAGAAAGCCCAGGCTGAATAGCAAATATGTTTGTACTGTTTAAGATTTAGACCATAAATCAAAATAATCTACTGTTTTTCACACAATCTTATGAAGTTTTATGTGATCTGATATCCAAACTGTTCCTATGCTTTTTTGAAAAAACGTTAATTATAATCTAAAATACTCTGTGCAAGACAATGATCTCCTTTTACTTATAATCCAACTAAAAGGAATTTTCAGAATTATCAAGGAAAGATTTGATATTCTGTGTAATGAGCAGCTTGGGAAGCCTCTAGGGAGAACCAATATCTAGGTGACCCACGCAGTTGGGTCACTTTAATACCTAGAATTAGGCCTGTACTTTACGGCTGGGATTTTGTACTAAATGCCAACACTTCTTTCCAGGCAATGCTAAAGTTAATGTGCCAAGCTGTGGTGTTTGGTCTCCAGTATAAGGTCCCACGGATCATTTGGGCACTTCTGAAAGGCAGGGTTTTAGAACGCGACAAAACCAAGTTCCTTGTTGGAGCACTAAAAGCTGAGCACTGGCTGATGCCAGCAGCCACACCTGAGAGGTTCAGGTACAAACCCTCAGCAAGGGTGAGCCTGGCAGCTGCACAGAGCGAGGAGGAACACAACATGGAAGGATTCACTGCCTACCAGTGGCTTTGTGCACTCGGGAGCATCCTCGTTGGCCACACATTTTTGTGCCAAATCAACAACATCCTTCACCAGCTTAGACAGTCCATCATAGGAACATTTCTGGAGGTACTGGGCAAATGTGATCATGGCACTGAAACACAAAACACAGGTGTGAATATGAAGCTGAGAAACATCTCAGTCAGGATTCTCAAAGGTGCTTCTGAATTAAACTTGTTTGGTCAAATGACATGCACAAAGGTTAACCAGGGTACCAGGAAGAGCATCCTGCCAGATCCCACATCCTTCCTCTTCTCACCTCCCTTCTGAACATGTTTTTAACCTTACTTCCCAAAACCAGAATCCTGAATAATACATTAGGAATAAACCAGAAAAGACTGTTGATTGGAGTTTTCTGCCACTTTTACCAGCATATTCATAAATGCCATAACCTAAACTGGATTTGGCCACTGTTACAAATTATGATCTTCAGGCTGTCTTCTCTCACTACTTATGTTCCTGTCAGAGCCCTCTGCCTTTCCCAAATCCAATTTGAAACAGAAATCACTGAACTGTCTCAGAAAACCCATTGCAGGTTTGGTTTTTGAGATTGGTGGTTTGTTTGTGACATTTCTGGCAACGTCTCAATCCAGCATAATTTCTCTACATTCTAAGGATATCAAACCTATATTCCTCATGTATATTTTATTTTCACATAAGGAACAGAGGTTTTTCCTAAGGTTTGCAGGGAGTTCTTTTCCCGGAGAGCAAGAAAGTCATTATGACTTTTGCAGGTCTTAGAATATTCATAGGCTTTGCACAGTAACAGTAAGAGGCTAACTCAGTGTTTCAGTGAGACATCCACGCTCCTCACGAGCTCATACTGCGTGTCTTAGTCTCCCTTTTTGGGACAATATCAACAGAGACAAAAAAACCAAGCAGAAAATGGAAGCTGAACGCTCACTTACACTCCCTTAAATGTCTCTTCCTTCAGGTCATTGTAGCGACGGGCAATCTGACTCTTGTGGTCTAGGAAGGAAAGCAAAGAGAACAGTGATGCTCTGCCACTCCGGCTGTGCTGCACATTCTGGGCACCACGGGCCACACTGTCACAAGGGTTCAGCATTCACCCAACTTTTACACTTAAGAGCATAAGAACTTCGACTCATCCTTGGCCGAGGCAACCTTTCTTGTCCGTTTGTCTGCAGATACCCAGCTCTTCCTTGTTTGCCAAACTGCATTAAAGGCATTAAATTGATAGAACAAAGACTCCCCAGACAACTAATTAGTCCTTTCTTACCTGCATCTCGTGCAGCTCTGTGCAGATTCCTGCATCTGGCCGAATTTAGGAGGAAAATAAAGGAAATTAACGTTAACCACTTCATGGTTTCAGATTATGATGTGAGCAAAATTGCTCAGAACTGCTAGGAAGAGCGAAGGGAGAGCATGTGCTTATATACCCTTTACTAGCTGTGCCTGTAAAACATTAACCCTTGAGCTGGCATTTGTACATTTCCATCTGGTCCGAAGAAGATTACAAAACCTGGGCTGCCCTTGCCAAAAATGAATTTGATATTAGTTATTTATTAGGTGTTGTTACTCTGGGCCTTTTTGTCCCGAAGAGGTCGAACCTTCCAGCACCCAAAAAGATAAAGTTTTGCGTAAATTTCCTTATCAAATGACAAACAAGGAGTTCAAGGCATCAGATGAAAAAGTCATCAGGGCTAATCCTATAGCCTTTTTTTTTGCTAGTATTTGTTCAGAAGCAAAGCAGGTTGGTATTGTGCAGTAACAACTCACCCAGACGGGACTTTGTCCACTTGAAATTAGAGAATTTTAATTTTAAATCACTTTAAGAAGACGAGATGGCTCNCATCTAGACATCTAGGGCTGATCTGAGCATTTGATTTGTTAGGTCATGTTCTGGTTTTCTGTGAGTGCTGCTGCTGCTCACCAGGGTCCATAAAAACAGCCAAACACATGGGTAGATGTGCAAGGGCTGTCATTTCAGAATTTTTGCAATTCCTCATTTGTACTGACATCCTCCCAAGAGTAATCTCTTAATTAAGCCCCACTTTCCTCTCTGAAAATGTCCTATTCATTAGTCAGTAACTTAGGAGATCAGACACAGGAAGAATTGTGCAGTTTGCACAGAGCTCCAGGACATGGAATAAAATTGAAATGATTTTTCTAGAACACTCAGTGAGAGGCTTCAAAAAAACCCCAACAGGTATAAGGTTGGATCCTTACTGAGTGCAAAGTGATGTAGTTCCACAGTGGGGAATACTAGGATTTATTTAATGAATTTAGCTCCCCAGTGTCCGGATGTCAACCCACACAACTGGAGGTTGTGTTCTGTCTTGCAGCTCCTTGCTCTGTCCTTAAGGTTCCCTTTTCTACTCTGTTTCTCTCCCCAGCTGGGCATTTTGGCTGTAACCCTGTTTTATTCCTAATGGAAGTAGCGAGAACAGATCAGTTTTCAGTTTTCTGGAAATCTGAAAAAATAAATTAAAAAAATACTTCACTTTGCTCCTGAGAGCAAACTTTTAAACGTGCCCGAAATAAATCAAATGACATGTCTAAGCATAAAATACCTGAAGGCAACCTCCACTGAGGAAAATGCCAGGGCAATGCATCTTGTGTTTCGGAAAGGCCGTTCTGTTCTCCAGGAATAACCACACGAACCTTAAATGAGTTCACAGAACAGTTTGATACAATGAAATTTCTACTGGCTGCTGCTGTTTCAAAAGAGATTTGTGTTTTGCCAAGTCTGCTCCTGAGATTTTTGTAGGTAAAGAACAGCATTCCTGTTAGTGGTTTAAAGGAACAAGGCTCTGTTTTGGGAATTAAAGGTTATGTGGATACCTCTTACATGAAGGATGGTGGAGGGAAAGCCAGGTTGGCAGAAAAGCAATGTTAGGAATGTCATAATATTAGACACTGGGATTACTTTCAGGTAATTGTAGCAAAATCCCACCTTCCTGCTGAATGATGGGAATTATGATGAACAACTTGGACTTTTCAGGCCTGTGCTGCTTTAACCTAACAAAATCCCAGGAAAGAGCTGGTTAAATGATTCAGTCTGTAATTATTTTATTGTCCATGTATCAAAGAACCATCTCCTTTCATATCTTAACGGAGCATTCAGTGAGACAGAAACAGACATTTAGAAGCCTTGTGGACAACCATGAAGTGGCAAAAAACTGTGGCAGTGGCAAGTGATTACTTAGAACAGCTCTTGAGACGCTCTCAAGCTGCACCAAAGCACTCTCCAGAAAACTACAGTCAAAGGTTGGAGGGGAAGGCTGAAATTTGGGCCAAGAAAAAGCCTCAATATGAAATGTTGCATCTTGAAAGCTCTCTGGAATTTTCCCCTGCAGCATTATGCAGTGTTAGCAAGAACACTCCTGTTCCCCTAGAGTTAATATGTAAGTTTGGAATACAGGGTCCATGTTTATTTCTAGATATCTTCTGTTGTCTGTCCTGTACTTCATGCCAATGGTTCATATACCTGCAGAGAGGGAGCTGAACTCCAGTGCTCATGTTTGTTTAACAATATTAAATATTCTACTGAGCTTCCTGTTACACAATTCTGTGTGGTGTACACTCCAACCAAAGCTGTCCTGTTAGTGGAGAAAGGAATACATCAATGGCATTTTGAGATGAATCCATTTTCACACACATTACAGGTGGTAACTAGTGTTATTCCAGGTGTGGGGGATCAAAGAACGGGAATTCCAAGAGTAAGTGGCCTGAGAAAAAAAGGATGCACAATTTTTAAATATTGCATCATACCAGCCCGTGCTAAGTGAAAGAGTAGATAAGAAGTGGACCAAAATGTACTATAATGGCTCGAGTTAACAAATGTGATATATCATCATAAGAACAACTGCCAGAGCCCTTTTGGAAAGTAAGTCCTTTTCAAAGTGATGTCTCAAAACCAAAAGAACGTCAAGTAACCCCCTCAATTTTATTTACTGCTGTTCCTTCTTTGTTTTCAAGACCCAAAGTTTTGTCTGTGTGAGTGGACCACAAGACACACACCAAACCCAGAGACACTTTAGGACATACTGTGCCAGTAACCACAGCTCTGTTTTGGAGGGGGTTTTGTTCCTGGCTTTGCTTTGGCTTTTTACATATCTCATGATAACAGGAAGGAGGGCAGCCAGCCAGCGATCTTTTTTCTTCCTCAAAGTGTAAAACTTTCTTCTGCCAAAGCAGAGGGAACCAGCAAAAAGAATGTTCCTTTTCACCTGACTGCAGGTGGAGGTGAGGGAATGCTGGAAAAGGTGTTGCCAGCTCACATTTCCAGCCCCGTGCCTACAGACATGAGCCTTGCTTGATTTCTTTCTTCCATTGGACAGTAGCTCATTTTTTAATAACTGTAATGATCAGCATTTTCTAAATAAATGTCTGTAGCTCTGGACACACGGACAGGTATCAGGTATCATGTTTTTTCCCTGCTCTGGTGCATGATGTTTGCTGTTCTTATCACTGATGTTTAGCTCCCACGCAGAATGAGCCAGAGACCTCAGATATATGGCTTTTATTTGAACAGAGATGGACTCATCAATGTAAAACAAGCAACCATGAAGATGGAAAGGGTTTGATCACTGTGGCAGAACGGGCAGAGCCCTGCTCAGGTGTAGCTAACAGCACTCCAGGAGATACACGTGTATCTCCTGGGCACATCCTCAGTTTTGAGGCTAAACTGTTCCTCTTGGGGCATCAGCCACTCGTCTGCAGTTTTACAGAGTTCTTGGTCATTAAAATGAGGACTTTTGAATCAACCAGAATGACTGTTCTTGCTAACTCTGTACATTTGATCCCTAGGGAATTCTACCATCCTTACCCATTTGTCTCAAAAGTCCACAGTGTGGTGATGGGGGCTATTTTCCTTACCAAGTACCAGTTGCCAACATGATCCTTTGGCAGCAGGTACAAGTACAGCTTTGCTTTGCCTATTAAACAGCCAGTTGCTTGAATGTACCCAAATTTAGAGCCTTCGGTGCTTTGGGAGGGTGTCAGCTGGCATATTCTGGGACTTGCCAGAATATCTCTCTTCTCTCCACACCCCCGTGACTCTTTTTTCTGTCAGCACAAGTAGGTAATCCGCAAACTAGGGGAGTAGTGGCTGGATCTTTTTATCCATTTGTAGTTACAAGGTCCCTCAAACACAACTAGTGTGATGTTTTGGTATGGGCGTATCCAAATATTGCATCTAAACACAAAACAGGAGAGGCAAAGAAACCCCCACGGTGCAGTGTTGCTCAGTTCAGCAGGTCCTCCTCAGGGAGGTCTCCCGCTCCAGTGTTCCTTCTGAAGCCTTTGATCTGCTCTCTGGAACCGCAGTGGCTGTGGTGGTGTGACTGATGTTCGGTTCATGGTACCACTGTCGCTGGGGATCTTTTTTCTTCCTCTTACATAACTGCCCGGAGGCCTTTGGAGTCCAGTGCGTTCACTTGTGCCCTAGAAACTTTTTGGCACTCGGTTTCCAATTTCTTTGCTGCTCTGCTGTGCTGCTTGATGGCCTTTGGCAGGAGAGAAGAGCCACGGGACGTGGTTCAGTCAAGAGCCAAGGCTGAAAGCTTTTGTTCGGCAGGAGACTGTTAATATTTCTTCCCTAGGTCTGATGCACTTCAGGTTTAACAATAAAAGAGGTACTGAAAACTTCTGAGTTTTGAGAAGGAAATGCTGGGAGGTTTTTTTGTTTTTAATTCCTTTAAGTCATTTATCCAGGATCTCCGATCTATTTAAAAACATGGCTACAAACTTTTCTTGTAAGTGTAAGCAGGTGTATTTGCTAAAATCAGAAGCAGAGCAGTTTGAAAATGAACCAATGATTTTGGGAGCCCCACTGGGTTTGCTCCCAACTTGAAACACTTCCAGAGTTGAAAACATTGCTGTCTAGAGGGGCTGTAGGACTTGTGGAAAATTTGTGCTACTGCGCAGGTGACCCCCCTGACGTTTCTGCATCACTGACAGTGCTGACACTCTTATTTTGTCCTATTTTCATTTACTTTCTTCGTAAACTCTCAGTTTTCCCATTCTGGCCTAAAAACTCCCAAGCTAAATAAATATTTTCTCTTTCATGTCCATCTCCATAGAAACAGAATCTGTGTTGCTGCTATAATTGTTCTCTTGTGCTGCTTTTTTCCGTTATGGCCTTGGGTTTTTTTAATATTGCTTTCTTTCTTGAGAAGATACCAGTTCATCTACTTAAGACAACTTGTAAATGCTCAAGCATTAAGGAGAAAAGAGAGTGATTCTTTTCTTATTCTTTCCTCTCTTCCTGAGCAAACAATTCCTGAAGATAAAGCCCTGACAACTTTGAAAAATGGAAAGATAGTTATTTTAAATGAAGTCCTGGAGCAAGAATAGCATTTTCTACCTCATATATTCCCTACTGCCTTCAGTATTTCTTTAGCTGAGAGTCACGGACTCAAGTGGCACCTTAGCAGGAAAATAGAAGTTTGTAAATCCATTTTAAGTTCTTGTTACTGGAGCAGGCAGATTAAGACATTTTAAAATTGGCACTGTCATTCACTCACTGAGATAGAAAGATAATCCACTTTTATACTGCTATAATGAATTCTGAGACTCCACGAATGAAATGTGGAGCTGCCTGTCTCCCCAGGTGAAATCCAAAAGCCCGGTAAAGTACTTCCACATTTTTGTCTCAGCCTCAGAAACAACGGTCAGTTAGTCAAACCTAAGAACATGTACTTTTCTGCTGTAAATACCAATTGGTTTTAACAGCTCAAAGTTTTTCAAGCACCATTCAACCAGACCACATTTATTAGGTGAGCTCTGGCTTGCAGTTCCAGGTCCAGTACTTCCTTAACTGTGAGTTGGATTCCCAGTGATATCACCAGGATGTAACCATCTCTTAGAAGAGAACTGGATTTGCAGCAGCAGCAAAACATTGTCTTTCTTCTGATTGCTTCTGGTTTTCCTTCCTGTATTCTCCTTTACCTGGATTTGTTACGCTATGACATGTAACACCGGAAGCCTGGGATTCCCAGAGTTAAGGAAATGACTAAAAATAGCACAAAACAGAGGAAATGTTGCTTGGTTAGTTTGTTTGTTTGTTTTTCTGTAGAGTAGTACTGGCAAACTCTGATTTTCAAAGGAGGCAAGTGATTAGGATTTGAAATTCAGTCTCTCTGAATTTGAAAGCCTCCAGAAAGGCTTTTCAAGGCTGATTTTAAAAGAGAGGCTCCTCAGTATATTCCCAGAATCAGGACTCACCCGAGACCAAAAGCTGTGATTGAGGTTAGCAATGATCTGTATGGTCCCTGTGGTTCTCTTAAATAAGCAATAAAAACAGAGGCCACACATCCAGGGAACTATAAAAAGGCAGCAGGCACAGTGGCTCTGCACAGCTGTGACGTCTGGTTTTTTAAATTTGAACAGTAACCCGAGAATCCTTCTCAAACCATGCAAAGAAATATTACCAAGCTCTTTGCCCATGAGGCTTTCAGTGTTGTCCCTCGGATCAATCAGGCCGAGGCTACACTCGCGAGGCCGTTCCTCTGTGGTGCCCTCCAGCCCCACTGACAGTCCTTGATATTTGCTCTCTGCCCAAAGGCCTTTCCTGCTCATACCAGCAGCGCTGCAATACTGCCAGTCAGGCATACCTGTAACCTGTCCACAGGCCTCAGGAATAACTCAGGAAATTCAATTGTAAAAATTAATTTGGAATTGCCCTTATCTGACACCTTCACTTTTGAGTGAACCTGGGTTTCTGACTTTTCTCCTTGACTTTTGAGTGCTGGAAACACAGAGTGGGGGTCTACAGTACAGGCACGGGAGCTATTCTGTGCAAACAGGATTGAGACTTCCCTTAAAATCAGTGCAGATCTAGGCAGGTTGCCTAGGACTGCCAGATTCCTGGCTCCTTGGGCATGGAAGTTGGAAGCTGTGCGAATTAGGCGTTGAACCACATTTCTCACTGGCAGAGAGGAGAGCCCAGCACTGAGCTAGGACTCAAGACTCCGTTCCGGATAAATCCAGCAAGGCTGAAGATGCTGAGAGCCTGACCTGAACACGAGTCTCAGTCACCAAGGCCCTGCTGCACAGTTGGGCACTGCAGCCTCATGGCTGTTAGCACTGAAAGAGTTTGGGGATGGATCCTTTGACATTCCAGAACACAAATGTTCTTGGATCATTTGACAGAAATCCCTCAAGCAGAGGGCCTGCTTCCCTGGGGGTCTGTCGGAACCAATATGGAAATATAACCACGGATTTCATGAAAGTTTATCAGAACTCTGATGTTTCCAGTGAAACATTTTGGATACAGCTAATTAACATGGTTTATTCGTGCAATTGCCAACTGGTTAATGGTTGGACTTGATGATTTTACAGAGACCAGACTGGTCAGGCATGATTTGCCCTTAGTGAAGCCATACTGGCTGTCCCAGCTCACCTCCTTGTCTTGCATATGCCTTAACATTGCTTCCATGAGGACCCGCTCCATGACCTTCCCTGGCACAGAGGTGAGGCTCACCGCTCTGGAGTTCCCTGCTCCTCCTTTCTTTCCTTTTTATAAACTGGAGTGTCATTTCCCTTTTTCCAGTCACTGGGGCCTTCCCCTGACGGCTGTGACTTTTCCAGTATGATGGAGAGTGGCTCAGAGACCACACCAGCCAGTTCCCTCAGAACCTTGGGATGCATGTCATCAGGCCCCAGAGACTCGTGGCTAGAGAATGTTCCATGCCATTCCCAGTGTCACAAAACAGAACCTCCACTGACATGGGCTTAGGTTATTTTATCTGGCCACCCACCAAATGAAAACTTCATGCTCAAGCTGGTCATAAAATTCAATCCAGAACGATGCAACATCAGAACTGAAAATTATTGTGTGAAAGTGGTGAAATTGAGACTCGGCTTCAGGTCCTCAGTGACGGATTTTGAAATATATTCAGCATTGGCCTAATTCTGTTCACGTCAAAGTCAGTGCCAAAACTCACCTGACTTCACTGGAAAGCGAGCTCAGTAAAAGGGAGGTTGGACCTTGGATCCTTTCATAAGGTTTTCACAAAATATTTCTACAATATTTTAAGAAAGTTATTTCTCACCAGATCACACAAATCTTTTCAGACCGATTAGTGGAAGAGTAGGAAATGTACCTGGTAAAAGCAGGTCTAGCTCAGGTTATACTGGGATGACTCTAAAACTGATGTTCGAGCCTAATCCTTTCCTAAAAGAGAGCTCTGGCAGGGAAAGCTGCGGTGTGTCCTGAGCAAACAGGTACCAGCATTCCATAAGAACGAGCCTGATGAAGCCTTTTCCAAGCTCTCACGTGGGATATGTCTGCCACCTACTGCTGACCAAACTATTTGCACAGAGAGGCCGTGGACCTCGAAATTGAAAAAAAATTTAATGCTCCTGTGGGCAAAGAAAGAGCCAGTTTTAGAGAATTTGCGATAATGATGTGTCTAAAAATGAGACCAGCTCTCTCTGGTGATGGGAGAGAAAACTTGACTTGCCGATTAATAATAATTAATGTGGGATTTATTTGGTGCTCCTATTGCAAAGTATTTGTGTAAGGCTATTAGAAGTACTCTCGTTGAGAAATATTTTCATTGTCCTTACGTGGGTCTCTTTAAACTAAAGAAAGACAGCTGAAATAGAGAAGGTGAGAAGTTCCTTAAGATACCAGGTAATGCTGATAAAGCATTCCAAAAATTCTCAACCACTTTTCTGGCTAGTGACTGTCACTATTTAACAAAGAGGTCTGCAGGATTTGGAATTAAGGTACCTAAAGGCTACATGTGAAGTGCTTTGCTGAATCCAAGGCGGTTTAAAACTCACTGAAGTGGCATTTAAGAGCTTTGGTGAACATGGAGACACTGTAGGGATGTCTGAAGGTAAGCTTGGGAATTTGTGTTCAAACTGAGCTCTGGAACACAATGTTAAGTACTGGAAATGAATACCTTGTCTATAATTGAAAATGACACACTTGAGAAAACAAATCGGATGTTTCAGGCTGAGTCTGTGTACCAGAATTTATGAATGAGAATAAAAGATCCAGACCTACCTTTCAACACACTCATGGGCTCACTCACCAGACGGCTACAGGTAAATGTCTGGTTGGCTTTTGAGGTACTTCCTCTTTTAGAAATATAAATCAATTCATATTCATGAAGGAGAAAATAAGAGAATGACGAGTGACAAAAAGGAAAATTCACCCCATCGGCATTTTTTCTCCTTATTGAAATGGTCACTCATTCAGGAATACGAGGCTGTTGAAGGCAGCTCCTAAGGTTGTAATTATCTTGCATTAAAGTCAATGGCATTGTAAATGTCATACGGGGAAAAAAATCCCTGTATAGCCTGCTGAAATAAATCACACAAAAAGAACCACTTTATTTTTACTGTAGAATGAAAAAATACATATCTGTTTTAGAACATATACATTTAAGACTCAAAAGCTTTAGTAAAATTTCTTTTCCATAGTGGTGGGAAGGGAGATCAGTTTTAGCTGTGAGAGGATTGCCGGCTTCTAGCTCCACCTACTGAGTCAAACTGAAATAGCAGAAACATCGAGTTTTCATCTTTTTCTAAAAAAAAAATGTATCCCAACTGCCCCCTAACACAGATCGGGAACCAGCAATAAGGAGCATGAGCCAGTAAGTAGAACAGCACACAGTAAACAAGGCAGGGCAGGCTCTGTTGGAAAACCAGAGACTCCCTGGGACCCTGGGGGGGGTTATGGAATTATAGACCACTAAAAGCTTGTAGACAGTTCTTCTAGTTCTAATGTGAACTCTGCAAAAAAATGTTCTTATTCCACTTGACGTGCCGTTTTGAGATATCACAGGCATTTCTTACATTGCTTTCCCTGAATCCAAGGTCTTACCAAGTTTTACACGGAGATTCTCACTCCCTTCCATGTCCACAGATAAATCACCCTGGGAGGATAAATATTTTCAAGGCACACTTTATATGAAGATAGAAAAAAACCAGCTTGAACCTCGTTGTTCTGCATGTCAGCAGAAGGCTGCTTGCACCGAGATCTCCCAGGCTGCTCTAAGAGAAGCCATTTCAAGGACTAATTTCAGAACTAATCAATTGTTTACTTAAAAAGCGGTTACTATAGAAATTATCGTTATGGACTGGTAGAATCAGGCAAAACACAAAGTGTAAGAAATGTTTAACCTCCTAGCTGGCTCCTGGGCAGTCCACAGTTGATGCTGCCTTAAATGCCAGTAATAAAACAAACCTCAAAGAGCAAAATATTAATTTGACACATAAACTTTGATATTCAAACACAGGCGAGGTGGCTTTGGCTTGAGAGGTCTCATTTACACTTTTGCATTACAGATCCTTTATGCATAAAATGCACCAAAAAAAAATAAATCATTTTATCTTGTGATTTGTCTTGTCTCTACTTTTACCTCTGACAGCATCTGAAGAGAATGAGAAAGAACCCAGAAGCTCACCCAGATGCCCTTTGCCTCAATTTGACATGGTGTTTTTCAATTCTATACTCACAAAGGATAAACAGTTTGAAAGCCTGTGTAGCAAATTAGGAGCCTGAAGTACACTTTGAAAAACCATTTGTGCATGTTAAAATATAAGTCTCACAGAGTACTAACGCATTTTAGGATTTCAAATGCTCAAGCCGTTTCTTAACTAAGACTCCCAAAGAACTAAACATATTACAGAACAAATGCTTTATTTTTTTAACAGAGCACTTGCAGGTTTCTTCAGCAAATCAGTTGTTAAAAGGGTTGCTTTCTGGACTTGTTTTTCCTTTCCCAGTTCTCCCTGTGAGGAAGTGGTCAAAGCTGGCACGATGTTTTAAGGGCAACTATCAGAACATGTAATACTGGTATTTGAGGTGGAATACAAATGATTCTCAAGACATTGGAGCAGGACATATAGGTGTATTTCCAAGTGGCATTTATGATGGATAAGTATACCAAAAGGCAGAATCACCTGGCTTCCCACACCAAACTGCAGGCAGAGGTGATCCAGAACCAGGACTGGGAGTGTTTGTGTGTTAATTGGAATGTAAATGCAGAGTTTGAGTGGTAACAGTAATGTAAATTTACCTTCTGCTGTAACTCCAGGCACTTCTCCCCAGCCAGCACCACTGTTCTTAAATTCTCAGTCTGTCTGGATTGTCTTCATTTTCTTTACTCTCAAGGCCACAGCACTTGAGACGCTCACAGGAACCTTGCTGTAATGCAGAAATAGAGATGGTAAAAAATTGAATTTAAAGCAAATGTCATGGCTACATAAAATCAGCTTTTAATCATTCTTTTCCACATGTAATTTACAGGTATTAGAGTGTTTTAGACAAATCTTAAATTGTATATCACAGAAAACAGTACTTTTCTGAAGTAGAGACATTTGTGCTTTTTTCCTTCTTTCTCCCTTTGCTTTGGGCAGCAGTCCATCATTGCTGAACAACTTAGATTTTATTATTTCCATTAAAAATAATTCACAGTGGTCTAACCTTAGTTTATTTTGCCTCCCATTTCAGATGGGTCTTCCTTTTTTTGGGGAGACAATGCTATGCTCACTGGAGGTCCAGTGAGCCAGTCCCTTTGGTATGTGTATTGAAACAATACAATTTGGGCTTCAAAATTCCCAGAATGATATGAATAAAAACAACAGCTGCAAAACAGTATGTGTCAAAGATAACCAGTGCATTCACCAGTGAGAATGGCAGGCTTTGGGTGTTGGAATTATTTTATAGTTTATTTGATTAATCACCTTGGTAGCCTCGTGGCAGATGTAGCAGCCATGAGTTTGGGTTAAAAATACAAGAAGTTACAAACTTTTTCCAGTTCCTGTATTAATCGCAAACAAATTCGCTCCCCCTGCTTCCTGACCTTGACGATGACACTGCTTCCAGCAGCTATATAGGAAACTGGAAGCAGATCCCTGTGGATAATCACACCACAGAAGAGGTTTTCAATGTGTTGGCTGTTCCACAGAGCCTCCTGTTCTCCAGGCTGAGCTCCCCCAGCTCCCTCAGCCGCTCCTCATGACCTACCCTCTAGACCCTTCCTCAGGCCCTTCGCCCTTGTCTGGACACATTCCAGCGCAGGAGGCTCCAAGGAGGGTGGCAGGGAGAGCAGGGATAAACTGGATCTCACAAAAACGGAGGAAAAGGCCTTGCTCTGCAGCGCAGGGTGAGGAGCCGCCATTCTTTGAACAGGACAGAGGTCACCCCATAAAAGAAACGGAACAAACAGTCTCCGACAGGCCACGCTGCCTGTGCCAACACAAGTGGGGCTGGGAATAACTCCTCCATCTCATCCGGGGCTGGGGAATACCAGGCAGAGAGAGAGAAAATACTACGGGTGCTTTTATTAGCAAGAAACTGGAGCCTTTCCAAGCCTGACAGCTTGAATGGATACCTGGAATTAGGTGCGAATGCCCCCAGTATTAAAGGCAGATTTGTGACACAATGTAACAGAGCTTAATGGCACAACTACGCTTCAGCCATTTCCACCTTACCCTTCAAACAGACCCAGGGCAACCAACAGCTCAAAGGGTCAAACCCAGCCCTGCAACCGCCCTTCCCAAATCCGGCTGGGTCAATTTGGTGCATTTGGACAACCCGTTTGGCTGCTTGTGCAGCCAAAGGAATCCAAGATGTGTTTTGCTCCAAGAAGTCAGTCACCTCTTGGATTAAACGATGAGGACGAGGTCACTTTTCCACGCTTATCCTTGTCACACCACACAGTGAATCTCAGGTGGTAGGGCTGAGGTTACCTATACTCACAGTTCTTTTTTCTGCTTCTTGTGATGACAACAAATAGCAATAATGTGCAACACAAATGCTAAATAACACATACAATATCTTATATATTATATATAATAATAGCAAATGTTTAATCTGTGCTTGTACCTCAATAGAAACCAGCAAAAAAATCAACGCATTTACATTATTTTTAATGAAAGAAAAAAAAAAAAGTGGTGCTCTCCAACACCAGCCAAATAAAAGAGGTAACAAATAATCAAATAACGACAATCTCTTTCCACTTCTGAACTGGAATAGTTATAACTGGAATTGGTGTTTCTGGCTTGAAACTCCGATTCCAAACCGTCTGTAGCGTACCAGTGCATTAGAGCTATGACTGACCTTTCCAACATGTTTCTGTGGTTAGAATATCTTTTATTTCCAACAGGTCTAAAAAAAAAACAATGGAAAAAAGCCCATTTCTCCAATGAGCATGCATTGACTGCCCAAATTTAAATATCTGACATATTTAAATTAACTACATATTATATATATTATATATATCTATAGAGATATAGAGATATATAGATATTTAACTAACGTTTATACTTAACATGTTTAACTTGGTTACTGCAGGACTTGACCTGCCCCAATGGAGGTGATGCTATTAATATCCCGAGGACATTTTAAGGATGAAAAGTCTGGGCTGGGGGCCCGAGGGAGGAAACGGGGTGTAGTGATACAGTTAACGGGGGTCATTAAAGGCACACGGTCCAATTGACACAGGAATTTTGATGTTTCTGGCATTTTCAGTAGTGTTGTTTTAAAACAGGGTTTTGGAGGTTACCTTTGAATGCACAGTGTCCAGTGTGAATACACTGGATGGAAGAACACAGAACCCCAGAATTATTTAGGTTGGAAAAGACCTCTGAGACCATCGAATTCAACCTTTGACCGACCACCACCTTGTCTACACCAGGGCACGTCCGGTCATTCCCTGGACATCACCTTTAACTGGAATTCTGCGCGTTGTGCTTTCACCACCGCACTTGTACTAATTTATTTTCCGGCATTTTCAGCGACGCCCCAACAGTTTCTTTTTTAAAGGGGGGTTTGGGAGGTTGCCTTTCAACGCATATTGCACGCACTCTGTGAGGGAACACCGCTTTTAACCGGAACTGTGCGTGTTGTGGGGTGTCCCCGCCGGCCGCTCCCTCAGGAGGGTTTCCCGCCCATGGGCGCGCGCGCCCTCCCTCACGCCCGGGGGGCAGCGCTGCCCCCACAGACCGCTCTGACCGGGCACCGCCGCAACCGCGGGAGACCCCCGGGGGCACTCCCGGGGGACGTTCCCGGTGGGGGGGGAGGCTTGGCCGGGGGTGCCGTTCCCCTCACCGAAGCGGGTCAGGCTGAAGGCTGAATGCCGAGGGGTGAGGGCTGAGGGTGATGACGCGCGCGGCGGTTCCGGCGCCGGGGCGGTGACCGAGGCGGCGGCGCGGGCGGAAGGAAAGGAAGGAAGCGGGGGAGGAGGGGCTTTCGCCGCCGCCGCCGCGCTCTGGTTGCCGGGAACGGGAGAGGGGCATAAGGGGCGTGGGCGCGTGGCCGGGCGGCGCGAGGGCAGAGCGGGAGCGCGCGCGGCGCCAGGCGAGCGGGAGCGGCGCGAGCGGCGGCCGCAGGAAGTATCGCGAGAGTTGGCGCGGCGGCGGCGCCGGCGCTAGAGGTGACCGAGGCAGCAGCGGCCGCGGGCGCCTCCTACTCCTCCTCCTCCTTCTTCTCCTCCTCCTCCTCCGCCTTTTCCTTCCTCTCCGGCCATGGAGAAAGCGGTCGGCGCGGCGGTAGCGGCAGCGGTGACGGCGGAGGAGGGAGGCGGTGAGGGCGGCGGCGGCGAGGCCGGCAGCGCCACGGCGGGGCCCGGTCCCCCTGAGGGGCCGAGCGGCCCCGCCGCGCCCCCCTCGCCGTGCGGGCCCGGGGCGGCGGGGCTGGTGCGGGTGTGCGACCTCCTGCTGAAGAAGAAGGCGGCGCCGGGCAAGGCGAAGCGCGGCGGGCGGGCGGCCCGGCCGGCCAGCAGCAGCGAGAGCGGCGGCGGCGGCAGCGAGAGCAGCAACAACGGCAGCGACGACGACGACGAGGAGGAGGAGGAGGAAGACGAGGAGGAGGAGGAGGAGGAGGAAGAGGAGGTCTCCGAGGTACGGCGTGGGGGGAGGCCCCGGGGGTTTCCCCCATGATCCGGTTTCATAATTCCAGCCCCCTGCCGGCTCCTCCCGCCCGCGGCCCTGCGGCACCGCCGGGGAGAAGGGTCAGCACCTCGTGGCGCGGGCACGGCCCATCCCGCCCCCGGGCACCCCCGCCGCGGGGAGCGGCCCCCGCTGCCCCCCGTGGTTTTCCCCGGGGGTCGGAGGCTCCCTGGGAGCGGCAGCCAGAGGCCACGTTCCAGCCTGGTGTGGCTTAATGCCGAAGGGAAAGGCCCGGGAGCTGTAGCAGGTGCCCTCTGCCGCCGTGTTGCGTGCCATGTGCCATATCGCGATGGGTATGGGAGCCCGGAGAGCGAGGGCTGGGCGGTGGGAATGCTGCTGGCACGCCCGGGATGGGGCCCCGGGGATAGGCCGGAGCACTGGGTGAGTGTCTGGGAAGGTGTGGGCGCTCCCAGCCGTGGGAATAGGTCGTCTTGCAGAGAGTGTGCAGGTAAAGCAGGTGAAGGTGCAGCCAAGGCGAAGGCCGTCGGACAGCCCGGGGTGTCCCGCTGTCGTTCAACGCCCCCTCCAAAGCTGCCAGCAGCCTCCATGTAAAGCAGAGCCAAGCCCAGGGAAGCATTAATAACTCGGGTTTGTCTAATGCTCAGTTTCTCAGGTAGGTATCTCCGGGAAAGGCCAGGCGAGGCTGGAAGGCCTTGATTTACATCCATGCTCACACACAGGTCTTTGCTGGGTGGTTTTAATTCTGTAACCCCCTCAGTTGGACCTGCACTTCCGCTTTTTTTTTTTTTTTCCTTTGAGTAGTGTCCTCGAAAACGTCCACTTGAAGTTTGTTGGCTTTTCTTTGAACTCAGTTTCAGAAAGGTTTGGCTTTCAAGTGGTACATCTGCATTTCAGTTAAAAATTGAGCAGGAAGGAAGAGTCTGATAGGTTGGGGGAAGGGCTGGGCCAAGATGCTGATAGGTTTTTCCCCGGTCGAGCAGCACTCTGCATTTTATCCCTGCTGAAGGTGATACAAGAAGCATTTTATCCACGTGCTCCGAGATAAATTGCACACAACAGGCGCGTCACAACAAGTCCTCACACCCGGCATTTTGTTTCTGTAGTGCTGAGTTTCAGGAAAGTGAACATCGTTGTGTAGGTAGAAGTTTTTGAGGTGTAAAACTTGTAGGATAACTGTTTTGGTGCCGAACTGTGGTGTCCAGCAGTCCTGCAGATGCTTGGAGAGCTCTCTCTTGAGCAGAATCCTTTGAGTTTTGCTGTGGTGGTGTCTGGCCCTTGAGTGACTTTTGATGTATCTGTTGGCAAGCCCTGAGATTAGCTGTGTGTGATGGAAACAGAATTTGTGTCGAGTGAGACTTACTGGCAAAATCACAGGTTTATTTAGTGGTCCGTGGCCATTCTTCCCACTGGCTCCTTATACTGGGAGCTCTCAGGTGGGATCACTTGTGCAGAGTGAGGAGAAGGGCAGAGACAGCCAAGGAGTGCAGGTAGTTGTTGAGGAATTCCCTGCGTGAGGTGAGCCTTTGTCTTCCTGCTGTGCCTTACAGAGCCTTAGGCACCTACTTCACATGCTTAGAGACCTGCAGAGAGATGAAAAAAAGCAAATTATTAAATATCATGAGGCAGAATGCTTGGCTCTATTTTATTTATTTTTTTTTTTGACAGTATGACATGTGCTATAGACACTGATAGCTGGGAAGGCAGTTGGGGCATCTGGAAGCTTCCCTCATGGTTTCGTCATACAGCAAGTGGAGGCTCTGCCAGACTGGGTGGTCTGGGATAAAATATTAAGCAGTGCTAAGCAGGCAAGTGGATAATACTGAGTTTATGAAGTTCAGGATTTGTGGCAAAATGTATGCCATGGGCGTCGTTTGTAATCGTTCTTTTTCTTGATCGTGCAGGTTGCTTGCAAAAATCTGTTCTAGACTTTCTCCCACTGACTTCAGGATAAAATGATGCAGCTTGTAGAACATGCACAGCTGAAGCCACTGTTTTTGGGAATGTGAACGTGGGGATGGCCTGATTAATGGAGCAGAGCATCCAGCTTCAAAGTTGCTCCCAACAGCTCCTGGGGGGGAAATGTGTTTTGAGTGTTCTAAGCAAAAGGGAGGTTTCCTTGTTTGAAAGCAACCTCATGGTTAGTTTTGGCTTTTAGAAACTTAAAAAAAACCCCTACAGTAGAAACAAAGGGGGGTTTAGTTGTTTGAGGGTTAATTTTTTTTTTAATTTCAGATTTACTTAAGTTGTGCCCAGCTCTGTTGTTGGATTGTGGTCTTCTGACCACTGTCAGTCTGGAAGGCACATAGAATGAAAAACACGGAAGAAATACAAGTTTCTGGTTTTGCTGTAAGTGGAAACTACTGTGGGAACGCTGCAGACGCTGGTGTTCCCTCCCAGCCATTCCCTTCATTATCTCTGTAAACTTAAGACAGTTTGTCTTAGGCTATTTTTTGCCCTTCCCATGCCTAATACATTAAGACTTCTCTAATCTCTGAGGCAAAGTGCTTCTAGATTTGACTGCTAGTGAGGCAGCTTCTAAAAATCAGGAGTACAGTAGCAACAAGCCCAAGGTTTTCTGAGGGGAAACCTGGCAGATCTGAAGTCACAGAAACCCCAGGAGTGGGAAGACATTGTTTGGCTCCCGTGTTGCTGAGCTGATGGAACGGAATAAAGAGTTGTAATCGGATGTTTTCATCTCTGTGTCTAAACTCCGTCAGATGTCCGTGTGGAAGCACAGGCACTGGAGAGAGCTTTGGCAGAAGTTAAATGGAAATTTCAAGCCAGCAACTTAATGAGCTCCTGTGACACCGTTCATGGCAACCTTCAAGGTGGATTTTTTTTTTTTTTTTTCAAAACTGCAGCAAATTACTGCAAAAAGCCAAGATCTTAGGTAGCGCGGTCTGGTGCTGTCTGCAAATGGCAAATAGCCTTTTCCCTAAAAACGAGTTAGTAAAAAATGGCAGCTTTTCTCAGTACACAGGAAAAGGAATCTTAAAGTATGAGAACGATGACAGTAGGAGTTACGTAGCAGGGGAGGTCAGCTTGCAGGTTCCTTGCAGGTGTTCTTATACATACTGATTTTGTTCCGTGTTTGTCTTCAACAAAGGGTAAAAAATATTAATAATTTCTGGTAGCAAGTTGCTACTTGAAAATCTGATGTCCAGAGTGCATTAGGGCTTCTCTTGAAGCCCTAATGTTCTTTCTGAACACAGAAAGGTTGGGTTGTATAATAAAAACTGTTCTCAAGCTGATTTCTACTGTTTGAACTTAGAGGAGGTTTGCTGGTGGCAGTCAGGTTTATAATTGCTCTTTCCAGTGTTTTATCCATCTCGAGGGTTTCTAAGTTCAGTTTTCTCCCTGAGTTTCATGATGATCCAAGGTGTAGGTCCATCTTGGATTTGTGTTTATTTCTGTACTCTCTTCCATTTTGTTCTGTCACTGCATTCTTACATGATGTGCAAATTCGTTTCTCAGGGCACAATCCTCTATTAACTACCTGAAAATGCTGTCCTGGGCAAAGGGTGCTTTTTGAGATGCTTTGGCTGTTTCTTAAGCATTCTTGGTTTCACTTGAGCCTGCTGTAAATACGAGGTCAATTTTGTTTTTTCAGCTGCAATTGAATTAGTAATTGAACTGAGGTAGTAAGATGAAGGAAGTGGAACAGCAAAACACCACAGGTCCTCTGAAATGTCTTCATACAGAAGAAACTACTCTTGATTCTTTAGGTTCAGATTTAAGGTGTTAATCTGGAAACTCGGGCTTCCTGGTGTGGTTTCAGGAGCGTTACTGGCACAGGGGTGTAATACTTATATTGGAAGAGGCTTGCAGAGCTTAAGTGTTCAAGTGAGCTGATTGGGAGCACAGAATTTATGTTACAAATCTCTGGTTCTCTTAACCCCAACTGTCTTAATTAGAGTCCTGGAATAAAGCCTTTGGATTCTGCAGGGC